AGAGATTAAAAGAGAGGATGAAAAGTGGGAAACAGTTGGTTATGGTTAGGGTTACGGATAGTCTTTTTTCTAGCTTTTATCATTAAAGAATCCAGGCCACTCTCAGGTGGATGTAACCTGAGGTGGTTCTACCAACATGTGCACAGCCAGAGGCTTTAGAAGCTCCAGTAATCTGGAGAAAAATGTTGGGCACTCAACACCCTTAGCAAATCCTGTTATCCTCCTCTCAGTCAAGTGATGGTTACTATTAAGACAAAGCAAAACTGCAGTGTTTTTTTCTGGCCTGATTTTTCATATTATTTTTCCATCTTGCATGTGAACACTAATGGTACAGGGAACCATTACTGTACCATGTACCATGGGAACAGTTATGGTAATTTCAACCAGTAACAACACATATACAGATATTTTTGATTCCATTACATACCAGCGTAGTGTGCAGTCTGCAGTAAGTGAAGCTGGTGAGTGACATGTCGATCAGACTGAATGATGTAGCTGGACTAAAGCTGGATTAAAGTGATTAGTCCAGCTAAATTAAACAGATTACTGTTTCTATTTCATGTATAATTTGTTTCATAACACTAGGTCCAGTTTTAAAATATTGGATCCTCTTCATCCAACATCTCACTCCTCACCCTGCTTCTGTTACTTGTCTTGTCTTTTCAGAGTCAGATTTCCGTGATGTCATCAGCTCTGCCCTTATCAAGTCAAAGAGGAGACAAAAATCCATAAATATCAATCATTACTGAAGAAAACTAATAAAAAATAATAAAATTGTGGCACATCTAAAATCTTCTGGACGTTTATTCCAGCTATGTGTAGCATAGTATGGGAATGCAGCTTCGCCCTGTTTTAATCGAGCACTTACCAGACTGGTCCCTGATGACCTAAGAAGTCTAGATGGTTCACAGTATGGAAGCAACTCAGAGATGGACTTAAACCACCAAGTGATTTGTAATAACAGTATTTTGAAGTCAGTTCTTTGAGAGACTGGTACCCAGTGCAGAGATCTGAAACCTGGTGTAATATGTTGATTTAACCTGGTCCTTGTTAGAACTCAGCAGTGACGTTCTAAATGAGTTGTCGCTGCATCAGTGCTTTTTTAGGAAGGCCTGAGAAAAGACTATTACAGTGGTCTAACCTTGTGGTTCTCAAAGTGGGATCCCCTCAATGACCCAGGGTCCCCAGCAAAAAGGGGAATCATTTATTTTCACTCTAATTCCATCCATAAGTAACACAATGACAGAATGTTATTGGTGACGAAGACTATTTTGGTCATGGGTTTAAACACTTTATGTAATAAAACATCTAAAAGCAAATTTGTCTCAGTTTAGGGGTCCTTGATGTGAAAAATTTTGAGAACCACTGGTCTTACCTACTGGAAATGAAAGTATTGTCTTTGTGTAGTTGGAGGAATTTTTTTTAAGTTATTTTTTGGGCATTTATGCCTTCATTTGACAGGACAGTGTAGATAGACAGGATGTTGGGGAACAGAGAGAAGGGGATTGATATGCAGCTGGCTGGGAGTCAAACCGAGAACTCGCTGCTCAGAGCATCTGCTCTCACGTGGTATGCACCCTAACCACTCAGCTATCAGGTCTCCCCATAGTTGGAGGAAATTTTGTCACATCCACTCATTAATATGATCAATGCACAGATGCAGTGAGTCAACAGGAGCATAGTCACTTGTCGACAGAGCTGTGTATAATTGAGTGTCGTCTGCATAGCTGTGGTAAATGATTTTGTTCTTTGCATAATTCAGTCTTGTGGGAGCATATAGAGGTTGAATAGGAGAGATCCCAGAATTGAGGTACACCACACATCATGCTAGCTAGCTCAGATATGTGGTTACGACCTATGATCATAATGGACTCAGTATCAGCCTGAGAAGTCTAGTATCAGTCAGGCTATGATTCTTCTCAGTAATATCACCACCATAACGGCTGCATGATGGCCTTCCCTTGTAGCTGTTTTAATCTCTGTAGCTAGCATGTGATAGGGCTCTAAAGTACAAACCCAAGGGATGCTTTGTAAATGGCTGCAGTATTTAATAACTGAAAATCAACCTCAATCTTCTTTTACTTAAATTCATGATGTTTCTTGATCCCTTCCAATCATCAAACGGACTGGACACATATGTGAAATCATTTCAAATGTGTACATACCTGCAGTATGTGTGAGGTCAGGAATTTATTATTATCTTTTACAAGCCTCCTGACTGTTCATGCACTGTAAAATGCTCCAGGTAAGATTTTTATGTTAGAGTCACAAAGAAGAGTGTCCACCAGCAACTGAGCTGCTGAACACCCACTAAAATATTGTATCTGCATGGACTCTGCAGTGAACAAACTGGTCCAGAACAGGGTTCCTACGGTGAACATATGGAACTGATTCATAAAGAGGCACCAGACGTGTTATTTAGCTTCTTACTACAAACATACTGTGAGCTTTAAGTCAACTAAAACATGATATATATATGTAGAGTCATTAAGACCAGATAGAGTAATAAGTGAGGTAATTACATTTGGCCACCCAAATTCTATCAGCTCTCTCAGTGCAAATCTTGGTGATCTCTCTGATTATATAAAGCCGGCTGCGAGGAACCTGGGGGTAATATTTGACACTGAAGTTTCGATAATCAAGTCAAACCTGTGGTTCAGTCTTGTTTTTACCAGCTCAGGATCATTTCTAAAATCAGATCATCTCTATCAATCACTGACCCACATAAAGTTGTACATGCATTTATTTATTCTCGGCTTGATTATTGCAATGCACTTTATTCAGATATCAGCCAGGCCTCCATCCACCGTCTTCAGCTGGTACAAAATGCTGCTGCTCGTCTTATTACTGTTAGAGTTTGGATCGATTTTAAAATTTTATTGTTGTTTTTATTGCTATTTTTAAGGCTTCGAAAGGCCTCACCCCCTATTACATCTCTGATTTATTGACATGGGCCTGTATTCACAAAGCATTTTATCTTACCACTAAGAGTTCTCCTAAGTCACCTTTCTTAAGTGATAAAAATCTGTTTTGGTTACCTTCTTTAATGTGTGAAGTTTAAGAGTCTAAAATAATGCCAGGTCATGCTACTTCTGATTTGACAAAAGGGGTCAGATGCACTAGGTTGTCTGTGTATGGGTTTTTCTGTCGCACGTACACCAGTGAAGCAGAACAGAGCCCTGTCAGTGGTGTCACACTATCCCCTGATCAACAGGTGGCGGCAATGCACTGAGGTACAATGCAGTGTGCCAGCAAAGACAGGGAAGAAGAAGAAAATGGCCGCATACAGTTTTAAATAGATTGGTTTTGCAAATGTTTTATGAGGAAGGAAACACATTTATTAAACTTGAAGAACAAACACACTGAGATTTAATGAGTAACATTGAACATGAACATAAACTTTGTTTGTTTAAATAAAACTCAAGGTGAAACTTTTCACCTTGAAACCGAGTTTCTTTGACTCAGTGCACGTGTGTTCACCTCTGCAGAGGAGCTGGTGGATGAAGTGTTCTCATATTCAATAAACACAATGGAGAGAGAACACAGTGAAGTGAGCTGTGCTTTAAGGTAATGCTATGCTTCATGTATCATATTCCATCATCTCTATGAGCCTTTCTATCTAAATTGCTCTGGTATGTGGAGCCTGGATTCTTTGGCCGTGACAATTCGCCGCAGACATCAAGCGCCGTGCAGGAAGATTCCTTCAGGCGAGTCGGAGCACGAGCAAACACACACACACACACACGCATGCATACACATACACACTCTCATAGTCACACACACATGTATATACACACAGATGCACCGTCTGGAACTATCGAGCATATCACAGGAAACAGGCCAATTAAGCAGCCTCCGAGAGGGAGAGAGAGAGCAGCCAAACCCATGTGACTGAATTCCCACAGCCACCACATACATACACACACACACACACACACACACACACACACACACACACACACACACACACATATATATATATATATATATATATATACACACACACACGCATACAAAGCCATGTTTACCTGTGCTCTGAAACACACACACACACTCCTGCCATTTTTTGAAATTTTTATTCAGTTTTTAAGTGATTTCATTGTCTTTATATGTGTCACACACACATGCACACACACACACACACACACACACACACACGCACCCTCCTGTTAGGACTGGGGGTCAGGGGGCTCTCATTAGCCCTGTGGCTCTGAACCAGGGAGGATTAATGTCACAGTGGCTTTTCATGGTCTGCACAGAGGTTTGTGTGTGTGTGTGTGTGTGTGTGTGTGTCTGTCCTTCAGCTTGGGGTTTAGCAGGCTACCTGAAAGCAAACTCACTCTGACTCCCCCTCAAAGCTGCTCTGCCAGTCGCACTCTTCAGATGCTTTTATTCTGAAAGAGGCTGAACTTATAACAACACATTAACTTTTATTGTGTAGAGCATCTAAAGTGGAAGAGGTGGTCAGTGTGCTTCCTCTGAGGATGATGAATATCCAGCAGATCCCTGCTTCAGGCCTCTGGTCCCACTCTGACTCCACCAGTGTTTTTCATGTGTGTGAACTGAACAGGATCAGGTCTGGGTCTGTGTGCTCCAGCTGGGGGGACCCTGAAGAACCTTCTGGGTCTGTCGACAGGAGGTGTGTTGGTGGTGTCGGGGGGGGGGTGATGGGGGGGGGGGGGGGGGGCAGCCGCAGGGAGGAAAGAAAGCAAAGAAAAAGAGAAATTGGACTGAGGATAGTTTCCAGGTGTTGCGTCCGGCTCCGCCCACCAGCCAACCCCCCCCGCTGCTCCCGCCCAGTCCCGCACCCCCCCGGGTCCACGGCTGCAGGCAGCCGAGCGAGCGAGCGAGCAGGGGGGCTGGGCCACTTACACCCCCTCCGCCCCCCCACTCACCGGTGCTGCTGGACAGTGAGGACAGTCACACACACACACACGCATCCAGTTCAGTTCGGCTCAGTCAGTCCCGCAGAGAACCAGACGCGGACCTGGTTCACGTATTGTCTCATAGGACCATAGTTTTTCCTCGGTGCTTCAGTCCTCGGACTCGGATCACACACAGGATGTCGGAGCTCTCCGTCAACGACCACCTCGAAGGGATTTTATCAGATTTTGAAGGTATGTCGTTTGGAGTGTTGAATTGCTTTACTGCTGCTCTGCTGGCTCCTATTAAAACCAAGAAAACCCTGCACCAGAGTCCGCATCAGGGCTGCAGCGGTTAACGGCTCTACAACCGCCTGATAGGGTTTTACTTTCTTCTTGGGAAGTTTGAACCAGGCTATGTGCTGAAAACGCACCACAATACAGCCTCCTTTAGCCTGCAATGAAGATCCACCCGTGAACAGATGAGCAGAAAATGTTGATCAACTAATCAAAGTTGAATGAAATGAAAACTACCAGGGACACTTTCCTCTGTTTAATGGAATAGACAGTGGATTAATGGAAAAACAGTTGGTAGATTAGTTAAGTAGAACTAGTTAGTCTGTGTGATTACACTTCCAGCAGTTGTATTGAAGTATGAATAGGATGGCTGGAGATACTTCTGTCTTTACATCTTTTCATTTCATCTCACAGCAGTAAATAGTCTGAATCACCTGAAACTGTTTGAGTCAGACTCAGTGTAATTACTGGAGTCAGATGTAAAACAGCCTGCACAGGTAAGAGAGCAGCACTAATAACACAGTGTGAGCAAAGCCTTGAAAAGCTCCTCAGTGTGTGTGTGTGTGTGTGTGTGTGTGTGTGTGTGTGTGTGTGTGTGCAATAAGTGCATCCCATCAACAGACAATAGTATCTTTTAGCAGCAGTAAATTCAGCTGTGAATGAGCTGGCTGAGCTTCAAAGACTCGGTCTCTGTTAGATCTGCCCTGACGTGGCTCAGAGGCCCCTCAGCTGAACATCAGCTCCACTAACCCGGGGCCAGACTCTCACCCACTTTTTTCTGACTTTTTTATAAAAAAAATATATATATATATAAATATATAAATCCATATCAAAGATCATTTAATTTATCTTTTCATAAAAGTGTGTATTCAACAATACACAGCTATAAAAAGAAAATGGCACAATTACTAGAATAAAAAAAGCAATAAAAAAAAAAACTATCTTTATAAGACGATGTAGGCCTCACAGAAGACTGTTTTCTATTGGCTCTGATGAATGAAGCTCATTATAGATAACTTTAATTGGATTCTTGGAGCTGTTATAAAATCATGAAACCATATATCAGCCAGTGTTTATCCAACACATTATTGTGCTGTCCCCCAGCTCAGTCTGCACATCTAACTAATGCTGCCAGTCTGTGGGTGGGGGAGGGGCGAGGCATTTGCATTACATTAGTCTGTCATATGATTGTTCTTCACGCTTTTTCTTATATATAGACGTTTCAATTTTATGAACACTTGACATTATTGCTCATATCTTTCCTTCAGCGCGCCGTAGCTCCTGGTCAGTCAGTGTTCAGTTCATCACACCTGTCCCTCACTACTCTCCTACATCAGCCTGCATGCCTCTCACGTTGAACCCGTGAGATGTTAGAAAGCCCTAATCACCTGTGATGTCAGATGTCCACACAGTCAGAGAAAGTTTAAGTGTGCGTCCTGGTCAGAGCTCAGTTATGACCATCAAAAAATCCTGCACACTGTCTGACTTGCAACAAAGAATTTGATGCAACGTTTTGGTCCCACACCTTCATCAGGCAAACGGTTTTCCAACAATAAGGAGCCATCTCAAACAGGAGTGGCTGAGTCGGCAGCCAATCTCCTTACCCCATGTGAAGTGGAAGATAACAATAAACTGATATCAACTCAGTATGTAACAGTTAACAGTTCAATACATAGAGGATTGGAAACTCCACATAAATTGAACAGGTAAGTTAATAAAAATATAATTCGTAAATATGAATGTGTTCCAGTCCTCTACAATACACATCATATAAATATAATGTCCAGAGATTGGTGCAACATTAACACAAAAATCAGGTTACATGAAAGAAGGAACCAGAAGATATATATTTATATTCATATACCTGCATATCCAGATCTGTCTGGAGCTGGATAGGAACGCCCTCAAATAAATCTTGGAACAGAGGCCTATTGTAAAGTACAAAGAAATCTATTTACAAAAGATATTTAAAGAATACTCCGTGTCAGGACATGTTAAGAAGGAGTTCATCATTTAGACCCTTAGGAGCTAATGTTTGGTAGGGCTGTCACTTTTTATTCAAAATTCAAACATTTGTTTGAACGTGGAGTGAAAGGTTCATATTGGAGCTGTAATGACCTGTTGGACATTTAGGCTGCAGTCTCTATAAGTGCATCAGACCATCAGCAGGTAGTATGGTTAACAAAAAGAGAGCCGAACTTGATCCAGATCATATTGATAGACTTGTGTTTCAGGCAAATAATATGAGAAATTAGGTTGGATCGTTTGACTATCGGTTCGCTACATTTTTAGTTCAAAGGTGTGGGAGCTCCCTCCTGTTGTCTGTCCTACTGTGTGCTCTATGTTACTGTTGCACTTTGAGACTTTGAGTTTCACTGAATGAAAAGTGCAGCACTTTTTATTTAAACGTTTCATTGAGAGCAAGGTAGAAGTTGCAGGCATAAAGAAAAAAATGAGTTAATACAGCCATAAAAAATTTATAAAGTCACGCTAATAATGTCGTGATGAGTTGTTTGGTGGGAGTCGGTGTGAGGGCATTCAAATCAGTTGGAACACATTGGGGGTCATTTTTCGAATTTTTTCGATCTTGATTTTTTTTGAAAAAGTGACAGCCCTAATGTTTGGAAAGTGTAGACCCAGTAAGCTTCACGTTGTTTGAGGAGCTTGTCATAGCGTACCAGCGTCTGGTTCAAGGGCCGGATCTGAGAGTGGCAGAGCAGCCAGCAGACACGTTTCCATCACGCCTCTCTGTGGTTCGGTCATTTTGAGACAAGACTCGGTTAGTGAAGTTTACAGCCTGTCACTCTGCTGCTCTATGTAACAATGACACTGTTAAAAATAGGTCTCCTGACTGACAGTGACTGTTACGGGTTCAGCCCTAACACACAGCATAAAAACACATTCATGATCAGGGTTTTCTCCATGTGGTTATTAAGAATAGTGAGCAGGAAGTGTAATGAGCAACATCTGACAGTGTAAACATAAACTCATCAGCACTGTGAGGGATAAACGATTTAACAGTGACACTCTCTGAGACAGTGTGAATGAGGCATGAATGGAGAAAACATTCAAATGTTGAAAAACTTTATTTATCCTCAGAGAGGACAGTGAGGGGGAGATGACATGTCAGAGAACAGACTCTGTTCCTCCTTAGGGTGATCCATCATGTCCCGGGACCCTGCAGGGACACCACAACAAAAGCCGCCCCCTCTCCATTCATTCTAACTCTCTCTCCACATTCTTGTGTTTAGACAGGTGTTGATTTGTGCCTCTAAACAAATTGGCGTAGCCCTCAGCTGCAGATCGCCACTGTAGTTGCTGTTGCACGGATGTTGTCTGATTGACACAGGAAAGTCAGAGCCTTTACACCTAAAACACAGGTCGCTCTGTCCTCACCAACCACAGAGGCTCCACACTCACCTGTGTGTGACGGGTGGTCACCTCTCCGTGACCCCGGGTCCTCCAGCAGCAGCAGCAGCAGCAGCAGCCCGGCCTCAGAAAGGATCATCAGATGTGACCAATCTAAATTTGATTTGGTAACAGGGCAGCGTTTGTTGACGGCCAGTCAGCTGTGGGATGCTGGGTAAAAGGTGGTGCCCGCTTCTGTTTTAATCAGATGGTTAAGAGCCACCATGTAAAGCCATGTGACTCTGCTGTGTGCCTCTACAGCAGATCTGATTCACACTGAAACCATGAAATGATGTTTCAATAGCTCCAACTGTCCAATGTGATTGTTCTCATTAAAGAGCAGAACAGAATCACCTGCGTACATCAACTGAGTCACAGCCCTGAGTTTTATAAACAGTCTATGTCCAACAGTTTGCTGTGTGTAGACTTTCAGTGTCACTTTGCACACAATTTTTAGATTCTGAATTGACAGTTTCATGAGTGAAGCTCTGGCTCTATGTGAAGGTTGTGGGTGACGTCACACACCTCATGTTGCTGTTTACCTGAGTATCAAAGTTCGGTACTATTATGGATCCACTGAATTGGTTTGATTCTGTTGAGGATTGAGAAATGCTTTTTTGGCCATTTTATGCCTTTATTAGTTGACAGGATAGTGGAGAGTGACAGGAAATGGGACAGAGAGAAGGGGAATGACATGCAGCCAAGAGTCTGGCCGGCCGGGAGTTGAACCAGGAACTCGCCTGCCTAGAGGATTTGTGCCCGAGTATGCCCTTAGCCTTGTTATTCTATAGCTCAGGAGTAAATGAGTAAATCTCATCAGCCTCACTGAGCCAATCAGCATGCAGCATACTTGGACCAGGATCTAATAATGCTGGTGATTTAATCTGAGTGAGTAAAGAGACTGAGCTTCAAAATAAAACTAAACTAAAACTTACATTTGTACTGTGATGTGTGTTATAATTTTCTTTGATAAAAGTGATATTGAAAAAGTTATCGATAAGAATTGAAGTCAAGGTCTCAGTATCAGTACTGATATTGAAAAGTTTTGAATGATGCCCAGTCCTAATTGTGGCAGGACATAATAAAAGCCTTTGGATAGTAGAAAAAAAAGTGTAAAAACCAAGCATCAACCTCAGAGGTTGAAAAATGACGGCAACACTGAAATACCAAAAACTGCAGTTTCTCAAATGACCACTAGAGCCTCGCTTACATTTTATTAGGCTTAAAGTTCTGTATAATTGAGGGGCGTGGCCTCTATGAGTGACAGGTGGGTGAGCGTATTCTTGCCACAAACTGGCATGCAGCAAAGTCTCGGCTCCACACACACCCCTCCTCTTTGCCCATTTTTGGATTAGCTGGGAGTTAGCGGCAAACTCAGGCTCTGCCAAGATGGCAACTGTGGAGCAGCTCACTCTGAGCTTCAAAACTGCTACGCAGAGGCTACGTCCATCTTTATTTACTACACTCTGTGCAGCAGGTTATTATGACCCATAGTTACTTTTTGTTGCTAGGCGACATCTAGTGGTTGTAGTAATGATGACAGGAGCAAA